TTGATTTCACTCCGTATTTGCCAACAGATGGTGCTTTTCAAGCTGGAACAAAGATTTCTTTTTCAGCAAAGTGGCAGAGAATGGTGAATTTTAACCTATTCCTTCATTCTCCACGCACATGTTCCTAGTTTATCCTGCCTCTTCTGTTGTCCTTTAACCCTTGTCTGTCCTCTACGTTCCTCGGCTCCTTCCCGCCCCCTTCCTTCTGACCTCACTTCCTCTGGGCATCTGTCGTCTTCCCTTTCTCTTTTTGCTCTTCACTGCCCATCTGTGTTCACCACCTGCTGTTCTATAACGACTTTTCTTTTCACTCATTCATCATTTAATCATTTCTTGCTAGTCCTGCTCCTATCCTCAGCTGGCCATCATCATTTAAGCCTGTACTTAAATGAGCATGCCAGCGTGTGTGTTGGAGGAGGTCAAGTAGGAAAAAAGAGAAAATAATGTTCATTGCAACTTCCATTTTCCCCTTTTAAGAAGCTGAGCATCAGCTGTTAAGAACACTTGCCTCCCCACCATCATGTTCCCAGTCTTGGTTCCATGTCTTTTTAAAATGGAATTACAGTGGACTCTGTAAGTTGACCTCCCAAGGGACTGTAACAAACTGGTCAACATAAGGAACTGGGCCTACTGTACTGACCCGCACATGTGGTGAAGTATGGTCTATGACAACTGGGTCAGCTTAAGAAGGTGGTCAACTATGGAGGTTCTACTATGTTTGGTTTAGCGGCAAGGAACTAAAGACAAAGAGAGCATCAGCTTTGTAAAATTAGCCAGACTGAGAGAAAGGCGTTTATTACCTATGCCCTTGGAGATGAATCCCCAAGCAAAAGTGAAGGAGCCATGAAGATCAAAAAGACAAGCTGGACACAGAAAGGGCAAAACCATCAGACCAGCCTAGAACTAATGAACGTCAGAGACTGCCCCCTGGCAAGGAAATATGCCTTGTGCCATGGACCATGGATATAAATCATAAACAAGGAGTCGTCTTCCATCGCATCACTTTAATCAGTTTGTCAAAAAATCAGAGCAAGTGTACATAAATACTTGATTTTTTAAAAGAATGTATAGCATTAAAGCCCCTGAGACACATCCAAGAATGACTTGAAATGTATTCAACACAAGTATTTATCAAACTAATTACTAAGAATTTGGCTCCTATCCCTGACATCGGAGGCATGTGATACTTTAAGAAAATATGCACAGTATACATATATATATATGTACACACAGAGACACGCAAGCACACATCAGCTAAATCAGATTCTCTTTCTCTGGTGCCTGGTTTTCTGCTCCTGTATATTAAGTCAGTTCCAGACAGTAAGGAAGGCACATTAGGAGGCAAAATAGCTCTTTAAGCCCCAGGGGGCCAGTTAGTAGAGGGATAGCGAACGGAACAAGAAGGGCCCAAGAGATGATTTTGTCCAACCCCTTCCTTCTGCAGTACTAGTAACAGAGGCTCAAAAGGGGTGTGATTTACATAAGCTCGGCTGGTTCTGCCACTACTTCCGTAACCTTAGGCAAAGTCCTGCAGTGCATTTGGACCTTGGCCCCGTCCGGTAAAATAGGCCTGTAGTAATCACAGCCAGCATTCTCCAGGTGCTTCCTATGTGCCAGGCAAAGTACTGAGCACTTTCGGTGTCTCATCTAATCTTTACACCCCCATAAATTATATATGATTACCTTCAATTAGAGATGCAACTATCAAAACACAGAACGCTTAAATAATTTTCCTAAGATCAAACAATTAGGAAATGTTGCAAAGCTGGTCTAGGCACCCAGGAATATCTGCCTCTAGAATTCTTAAATTCCAACTCTTCAATCCCTTCTAAGAAACCTCCATCAGGTACTTTCTCAAATTCTTTACACCTCTAAAAGTCTAGAGCAAAATCCAGCCACCCCATTTGTTTCTGTGTGGTCTGTGCCTACTTTTGCTCTTGAACAGCAGAGATGAGTTGGGGGAAACAAAACTGTACGCCTGCAAAGCCTGAAATATTTACCCTCTGGTCCTATACAGAAAAAGCTCACCAGTTCCTGGTCTAGTGCCTTGAACGTTTGGTGCATCCTGTAATTGCACAGCACTTTACAAAGCACCTTGGCCTGCATCATCACATCTAATCCTTGCCACGCAGGCCATTCATACATTATGAAGGAGGAAGGTAAGACTCAGACAGTTTAAGTAACTTGATTAATCAAGGCCACAGAGGCAGAAAGTGCAGAGCCACATACCCAGTCCTGGCTCTTTCCATCGGCCATTCTGTCTCCCCTACGTTACTATGATGGGTGTTCTATGTGCACTCATGTAATTAGGAGTCATAAAGCACTAACAATTAAATTTGAAATAAATTAGAAAGAAAAGCTTATGCCTTAAAAGATAGTGTGGCAATCACAGGAAACACATTATAAAATATACATGATACCTTCATATGCATTTTTGTATGGTTATGTTAAATTTGAACCCACTCAATTTAGAATATGAGAAATGACATAAAATGAGCAATCACCACATTTCTCTTGTTCTTTGATGAGATCAGCCTAGAATTTTTTTCCATACTAAAAGCTTGCATGTGAATAAAAATGCAATTACATTTTCTCATGCTAAATACTCCATAAATATATGGTTAGTTTTAAATGGACTTAATAATAGATACTAACTTAACTATACGGCTTTACCAAAACAGACAAAAAAATTCTTTTCAAAGAAAGTATAGTTGTTTTTTCCTAGTCTGCAAATTTAAGCTTAATCTGAAAGGTAGTAAGTGATTCTTGAAATATGGCCTAGCGCTGGGGACTCATTTGAAATACACAATGTGAGGCACATTCCTTTTTATTTCAGATTTATTGTATAACATACCTTGAGATTTAATTAGACACATAAATGGGTCTGAGGACACCCTGAAATCCCTGCAAGCCAAGAAGGAAAAAATATGTGTGTACATCTCATCAACTGGGTGCCTGCTGTGTTACTCATCTTTGCTTCCTGAAATGAACTGGAAAGTATTTTCCCCTTTCATTACAGGTGAGGAAGCAGAAGTCCAGGGTTCTTACTAATTTGTCCAACCTTATGTCACAAAGCTGGAATTTGAAACTGAACTAGATTACCTTCAAAACCTAAACTCTGACCCATGCAGATCCCTAGTAACACCAAGATCACTGGCCAGTATCTCAGAAAAGCATCATTTCAAGAATAAAACTTTCATCTTTATTGGATGGCTGGTACATTGTAATTCTAATTCTGCCACAATGTAACACTTTAGTGAGGAAATTTTACCCTAGGTTTAAATTTCCCCTTTTAAGGTAGAGATTGAGGACCTACACTTAAGTGAGCTCTTCAAGTTGTGTCTGCAACAACGCACATGGAGGTAAAACTTGCTTTATGATTTAACTAATTGTACTAATCAAATGCAAAATTACTGTTTACAGCAGAGCCCTGCATAAAACTAATCTTAGCCCTTACAGTCACTAGTTACTGTGGATCCTTATTAAAATAAAAAGAGAAGAAAACTTCTATTATTTCAGGCTTTATAAACTAACTGGCTAATTGTTGATTACAGTATCACTAAGAATTGTCACTTTAATCAAATAGGTTCTGCCAATTGTTTTATTGGTCACTATTTACTTTTTTGGCAGTGGTAGATTGTAAGAGCCCTAACTAGAAGGACTTTCCCTTACACATCTTTCTGTCTCCCCTAGGGATCCAAGCCAAGTGTTTGGCACAGAGCAGCACACAGAGACACCTGTTGAATGTGCTGCTCATTCAACGACTTGTTGAGTCAGTGCATGTATTTTCAAGATCAATCCCACAGTACGGTCTTGGGCGCTAGAATCGTGAAGCTATGTTGCACTACTTTGTGGCACCAGAGAGAACTACAGATTAAGCTTTTTACAAGAGACAAAGTACATTAAACATAGGCACTAATTCAATGTCATTCCCTAAGATCTAAACATTTAACTAAAAACTGACAGAAAGAAACAAAACTGCCACTAACAGACATCATGGAACTTATTTTCTTTTTACACGATTTCACAACAATGCAATATGGTCTCCTTCACTGTTCTGCAGACAGGTAATGCCAGTAACTCTGAAAGACTGACATTCTCATCTAAATTTTGGGTCTAGTAAACACATGGAATAAATAATTTTATGGAAATGCCAACTGTGGCTACCTTCTCTTCTGTTTGTAAACACAGGCTGATTTTCTGGCCAAGAGGGGAGAAGGTTGCTTCTGTTTTACTTTCACATCTGTAATATTAAAATGCTTTTTTTAAAAATCCAAGTTATAGAAAAACATAAAAACAGAGTAAATTCGGAGATGATTATTCACATTATAAAGGGATTCTCCATAGGGTTCCATTAAATACTGAACTTGCCTCAGTCACTGAATTTGGGATTTGATTTAAAGGCAGCTTTGCAGGAATACATTTCTGTGTAAGTGAGGTACACCCATATATTCATCTTAACTCCCCTCCAAAGACAGGCCAGCATCTTGTCTCCATTCATAGGGAAGGGAAACAAACTGTACTTGTTAAGAAAGTCAATGGCTTTTTGGACTGCCCTCTTCACCTTTCTCAGGAGCCAAGGCTTTGAGGAATCCAATCAAAGAAAAAGACTCACTTGGGGAAACAGTCCTTCAACTACTGGGAGGCAACAAGGCTCCGTCTAAAACCTTCTTCACCTTGGTCCAGGGAATGTGAGTTGAGGAGCAGTGTATTTGAGATTTGGAGGCTGTGCAGGCCACAAATGTGGCCTGTGGCAGATAAAGAAATTCAGAAAATCCGCCCCAGCGGCTTCTTGTACCTATTTCTTCATCTCTACACTGAGTATGAGATGAGGAAGAGGCCCCATTCTTCACCCCTCAATACTGCTGACCATCAACAGCAGAGGAAACCCAACTACGCGTAGTGCAAAACTGAATAATATTAATTGGTAAATCACCTTTTTCCCATAGAGCAAAAATGGGTGTTTGGAGAAGTCAGTCCCATGATTTGGCTGTCAAGGAGATGCACACAACCTGGCCTCCCTGGGTCACTGGCAGAGAAGGGCGGCTTCACCGTTCAAACCAGCTGGCCAGGTGGCTTATGCTCTTGGGCCGGTCCCCAGCCCTCTGCACGGCCTGGCAGGCCCGGCACCAAGGCTCGTCCCAGAAGGAGGTGACATGCACAGCGTAGCTCCTGCGCCAGCTGAAGTAGCGGCGGTAGACGGCTGGGTTGCGATCGAGGAAAAGCAGATAGGAGGCCAGGGAGGCAGCACTAGGGAAATCATCCACGTGGATGAAGGCGCCACGGGGCACGAAGCGCTCATAGTTGGTGCGGTCCGGGCCCAGCACCACAGGCACCGCCCCGGTGAGCAAAGCATTGCGCCAGAGCTTCTCCGTGATATAATCCATGTGCTGCGAGTTCTCAAAAGCCAGGTAGAATTTGTAGCGGGCCACTGTGTGCAGGAGGCCGCTGTCAGGCACCGGTTGCCCTGGCCCTCCCCGGCCGAACACGTCCACGGCTATGTGCTGGCTCAGCTGGCGATAGTAGCGGACTCGGGCCTGGCGTTCGTCCCAGTGGCTCACCACCCAAGCCACCAATCCCCGTTTCCGCCCCAGCGGTGGAACCAGGCCTAACGGCTGGTCGCCGGGGTGGCTCCTGGGGTACAGGTAGCCATAAGGCACAAAGATGTCCGAGTCGGTCCGGTAGGACAGCGTCCAGTTGAAGAGGTCAGCTGCCAGGTTTCGCAGCCCCGGGGAGTGTGAAGGTGACTCAAAGTTCATCCACACCCAGCGTTGGCCCGGGGGTCTAGAGCCCGGGGTCGCCAGGGCTTCTGCCACCGCAGCTTCCTCCTCCTGGTCTAAAACGCGCAGCTCCTTTGCGTTGCGCACCTGGGCACCCCAGGGCGGGGGCCAGTCGGGGGGCCCCGTCACCAGGTCGCGGTGGTGGAAGAGCACGGCGTGCGCCTCTCCATAGGCGGCGCGGTCGGTGAGCAGGCGGCAACCGCTGATGTTGAAGCGCAGCCAGCAGTCGGGGGGCTGCCTGGGCGCGGTGCTGCGCCCCCCGAAGGGCTCCGACCACAGTAGCACGCCCACTGGCCGCGGCGGGGCGGTGGACACCCAGGGCAGCGGCGGCAGCTGCCCCCAGCAGGCGTACGCGGCCAGCGCGGTACACAGCATGCCGGCAGCCGCCAGCGCCGGGGCGCTCCGCAGCAGTCCCCGGCCTCGGCGCCGCCCGCGCCGCCCGCCCGCCACCCAGCCCCACAGCGCCCCCATGGCGCGCGAAGGCAGAGCCGCCCGCCGCGCGTCCGCAGGCTTGGAGGAGCGGCCCCGGCTCTCATGCTGCCGCCGTGGCTCCAGCCGTCGCTGTCGCTCGCCGCCAGCCCGGGAGCGGGAGGGGGCGGTCTCAGAGTCCAGGGGCCCCAGGCTGGGCTCCCCTCCTCCCGAGTCCCGGGCGGGGCGTGCCGCCAGAGCGAGGTGAGCCGGCCGGGCGGCCCATTCCGGCGCCTCTCGCCCTTCCCTTCCACGGTGCCCCAAACCAGCCCAGCCCGGCCAGGCCCCGGGCGTTTCTGGCTGCGCTCCTGCCCGCTCCCCACCCCCGGCCGCGCCCCACACGCGCCTCATCCGCTACTCGGGATCCCGTCTCGGGGGCTCCACGGCCTCTCCGAGCGCGCCCCTCGTCCCGGCCCGCGATCTCGGTGGCCCGAACCCTCGCCTTCCAGAGCGAAGGCTCAGTTCATCCCTGGGCGCTGCAGAGAGCTTGTGACCCTCCAGAAGCCGCTGCCGCGCGCCCGGACGGAAGGCGGGCCAGGGGCCGGGCAGAGCCGCCCCGCAGGACCGAGCATCCGATCCGCTTCCGGCCGCAGAGCCCTGCTACCCGCCAGCGACGCCCCCCGGAGGGGAGTCCGAGCGGCCGTGGGAACGTGCGGGCAGGGGCGCGGCCGCCACGTGGCTGGCCCGGACTTAGTGGCCCTCCCAGACCAGCTGGTTGTGGAATCAGCCCTCTCTGTGCGGCCGACGGGGTTGTGTTGTGTGAAACTAAGTTTTCCGCGTGAGTAGGCATAAGCATGTTCCCTTTGCCTATCTCCCCCCCACCCCCAGCAGAGGATAAAGAACAAAATGTTTAATGAGCAACTGTAACGCGTTCTTTGCTCCCAGCTGAAAGTTTCTGACCGCTGCCTACTGGTAGTATTCCTTGTATTTAGGCTTCTAGGACTCAAAAACCAAAGATAAAGATGGGTACCTGAGGTCCTTGTCTGGGAATTTACTGCCTATTCAGTGAAGTAGATGAATGAACATCACTAAGCATTTTTTTAAATTTGCACACTTAAAGATTATGCAAAATACTTTGGACTAGAAAATGATGATTGGAATAAGTATTTGTACCCAAGATTAGGGTATAAAGATTAAATATTGTACCGGCTTCTTCAGGATTATCAATGAGGCATCTTCAGTCATTTGAGAATTTTTTTACCTACAGCTTGAATTCAGACTTTTGGGTTTCAGTGTTCATTTGTGATATTCAACTTTTTTGTCAGCAGAGTTCTAAATAGGTCAGCTGCTGACCTAAGAGAGGAAGCAGTTTTGAGAGAATTTTTAGTACATCACAGCTGCGCATCAGTGAGGTCCCAGGCTAAGAGGATGTCAGTTACTGGATGATAGGGGAGAAAAGTGCCATTTGGATTTATTCTTAAGACTGTGTTCATTAAAAATCAAGTATAGATTGTAAAAGCTTCTATAAAAGTGGTTCCAGGTGGCACTGCCTGCTGACCACGGCCTAAGCCTGAGAGTTGGGTGCAAGCGTTAGGTGTGGTGGCTAGGCCCATCAAACTAGTGACATTATACTCTAAAACCTTTTATAATGTTTCTGGGAGTTTTCTTTAATTTGAAAAAGAGAATTACAAATAGGAATTTAAATGTTTTATTTTAAAAATTTTGAAATTAAAAGACAGACGCGGACATGCATGCCTGTAATCCTAGCACTCTGGGAGGCACAGGTGAGGATAGCCTGAGCTCAGGTGTTCCAGACCAACGTGAACCAGAGGGCAAGAGGGAGACCCAGTCTCTACCAAAAATAGAAAAAGTAGCCTGAGTAGCGGCAGGTGCCAGTCGACCCAGCTACTGGGGAGTCTGAGGCAAGAGGATCACTTGAGTCCAAGAGTTTGAGGTTGACGTGAGCTATGATGCCTCCACACTCTACCTGGGGTACAGAGTGAGAGTCTGTCTCAAAAAAATAAATAAAATAAAATAAAAAATTTGTAATGAGGAATGTCAATGATTTTCCCCTGTTTTTAATTAAAAGAAAAGGCTATAAATGCACAAATAACTTGTTTCAACCATATAAAGAAAAAAATGTACTGGCTTTTCCTTTTATGCAATTCAAAAATCTATACATTTGTGTACATTCTTCTTTCACTTCATTAAATAAGGCATCATAATAAGAACTAAAAATGAAATCCTAAGCCCCCCCCCCCAACCAACTGAATAGACCCTTTTATGGCTCAGTGGACCCCAGAAAAATTTTGTAAATGGAATTTCTGACCTTGCTGGCACAAGCGGTCATAGGCATTATACCTCTTTCCTTTGTGGTTTTGACATACTCACTGACCAGCGTTAATGTTAAAATAGAGGTCATAAGACTGACAAAATGGACTCTTGGTGACAATAAGATAAATTATAGGGTGGTGCCTGTAGCTCAGTCAGAAGGGTGCCGGCCCCATATACAGAGGGTGGCAGATTCAAACCCAGCCCCGGCCAAACTGCAACAACAACAAAACATACCTGGGCATTGTGGCTGGTGGCTGCAGTCCCAGCTACTCTAAAGGCTGAGGCAAGAGAATCACCCAAGCCCAGGAGTTGGAGGTTGCTGTGAGCTGTGATGCTACAGCACTCTACTGAGGGCAACAAAGTGAAACTCTGTCTCAAAAAAAAAAAAGATACCAAATTATAAACAGAACCTAAGGTCGTGCCAGGCAGGGATTAAGTCACGCAGTCCCTACACTTAAAGAATAACTATATACTATGTTCTAATTGCCACAGGTTTTTGTTTTTCCCTAGCAGCTAAACAGTCCCTGACCTTGAGATGGGCAATTTTAAAACAATTTCAGCTCACTGATCACCAGAGGCTGATGGACCAACCTACTTGTTCCAGAAGCTATAACTACAACTTTAGACAAGAGACTGATTTCAGTAACTTTCTCTTGATAAGACCACCAACCACGGACTGTTTCAAGCTGGTTCTGGCTGGTTTACGGAAGCTGTCTACTTACATGCCTTCATGTCCCTGTGTCACCTTTTGACATACAGGGCCTAATTGTGGTACATTAAAATTTTTTTTATGAAAAAGGCAAAATAAATTCTTTTTCTTTACTTAACAGTTTTCAAAATAGTGAATTTATTTACAAAACTGTCTCCAATGGTGCTATTTTAATAACATTCATAACCATGGCCCCAGTGCTTTCCTGCTCACCTCCCATCTTTGTGCACAGCCAAGGATCAGCTGGGGGGTAGGGAGGAGAGATGGAGGCCAGACTCAGTTTGCTGCCCGAAAGTTACTGTCAGAGGGTGGCAAGTTCTGGCCCAGCTGGATCCTGGCCCAGCTGTGAGGCCCAAGAATGTTTTCCTGGGCTTACACAATGGAACATCAATAAGAATGATGGTGCAGGATGTGTGTGCAATTCTAAGCACTAAGCTTTCTTTTTGAATCTGAGATTTGACTCAGATACTATAAAGCTCATCCTTTTAAAGGAAACAATTCAATGGTTTTTGGTAAATAATGTTTAGCAAATTAGATGGTGGTGTTGTGTAGCAGCCCGTATGGCACATGGCAAGGAGGAGTGAGAGTTATAAGAAACACCTGTAGCTCAGTAGTGTAACACCCTGGTGAAAAGAGTATGGGGAGGGATTTGGCTCTCCTAACAAACATGAGAGCCTGTGAGACTAGAGCATCAGTGATTGGCAATCTCTACACCTGTGGTGTCAAGAGCCACGGGATTGCATCTATATTAGGCTGGAGGAGAAGGCCGTGGGGAGCGAGCATATGTAGTACATTCTTTTTAGACCCGCTCATTCTGACAATGTTGCTTCTCCTGCCTGCAGAGCGCCTGCATGGCATCTCTCTCTGCGAAAAACTGCTAAGACGTATATCTTCTAAGACTGTTTCTTTCCCTCAAAGACTGTTTATCTCTCTCTCTCTCCCTTCTGCTAAAGCAAATAGCCTGCAGGCATCTAAGAGCAACCGTTCCTGAGCTAGAGTGCAAAGTGGTCCGCATCCAGAACACAGCTAGATAAGCCATGGGCGGGAGACCTGTTTGGTCCTGGGCCCGGATAAATGGCAGCCCAGATGGGACAGTGAATAGTCACTGACCGTGTTGATTTCCACGATGCAATCTGATTCCCTACACATTCTCCCATAAACAAAGCACCAAACCCATAAGCATTTACACTCTCCAAGTTCCCATATGGATTTGCCCAGTACATTTAAATGTTAAGTCTCCACCCCCAAGTGAGCATGGGTTATATGTTTATTCATTACGTATGCTTTAGGAACCCCGTGGGGAGTATTCAGAGTTCCTTCTATAACCTGTTAAACATGTATACTTGACCAACCCCTTCAGCAAAAATTCCTGTTCCAACC